TTATTTTTTATTTTTTGTTTCGTTTTATTTTGTGTTTTGTTTTTGTTTTTGTGCTTTTGTTTTATTTAGTTTTTTGTGTTTTGTTTTTTGCTTTTGTTTTGTTTTTATTTTTTTATTGTTTTTATTTTGTGTTATTTAGTTGTTGTTGTTTTTTTAGTTTTATTTTGTGTTTTATTTTGTTTTATTTAGTTTTTTGTGTTTTGTTTTATTTAGTTTTTTTGTTTTGTTGCATTTTTTGTGCCCAACTGCCCATCCACAAACAAACAAACAAACCGATAAACAAACAATTTAATTTTTTTTTTAATCTTTGTTTTTATTTGTAATAATAATAATTTCTTTGAGCCATAAATACTGTATGAGGTTTTGTTTATTTTTGTAGTTAAACATGAGTCAGGACCAGAACTTTTTGTTGTTGTTGTTGAGAGCTTCCCTTGCACTGACTTCCCTAATTTTTGGGGTCATCAGAGTTTAAAGTCCCTTCTGTCATCAGTTCTCCCTGCTTAGGGTCCCAGCAGCCCCTGACATATCCCACAAGGCCCTGTCTGCACAATAGCGCATTGTGTCTCGACTTGAGCGAAATAATCCTACTCTTTCTACAAGCGCTGGAACGTCTCCTCACCAGGTTTGATATTTCAAGGAGAAGTCACTCAAATGCTCTTGTGGAAGAGGCTGGTCATTAAAAAAAATCTAATCGGAACCAGAACTCTTCCTGGCTCTCATCAACTTCTGTCACGGTCTATAGTTAACATCACAACCTTTCAGTGATCTGTAAATCCTCAGTTTCTGGCCGGATGTTCTGTGCACTGGGGGAAGTCAATGCTTTATCAGAAACACAATATGTTTTTTCCCTGCGGCTGTACTGGGAAGGTTGAATGTGTAGGAATGGATCCAGGAGGTTGTGATAAAGAGCTGTTACCAAAGCCTTGTGTTTTTTATCCCTTGTTCCTCCTGTTGATGAAAAGCTGCTCTCGTGTTGAGTTTGTGGGCTGATGTACGGCCGCTCGGGGGCCGCCGCTCTGAATGGTAATTATAAACAGTTACACGTCGCTCTGGGACCGAGCTAAAAGAAAACGCACAACACAGCTACATTCTGTTAGAATTTCTTCGAGTTAAGTAGAAAATGCATATTTGTGTCGGAAAAGGTTAGCTGTGACATATCATCAGCTGACATTCTGCACACTAATGGAAAATCTCCTGTAAGAAGCAACTGTGATGAAATATACCTGGAGAGATTTTATAAGAAAACAAGATTTTCAATAAAGATTAGTTTATTTATAAATCAATTCTGTCATCATTTACTTAATGTTTTATTTCAAATATTTATGTATGTATGTACATTGCATCCGGAAATTATTCATACTTCACTTTAAGTACACGTGCTTCAATTTTTTTTTGTTTGTTTTTTTTTAACATTACGATTTTATTTCAAAATGGATTAAATTAATGTATTTCCTCAAAATTCTACACGCAATTTTTTTTTAATTGTTGCAAATTTATTAAAAATAAAAAAACCTGAAAAGTCACATGTACAGAAGTATTCTCTGCCTTTGCTCAATACTTTGTTGATGCACCATTGGCAGCATTTACAGCCTCAAGTCTTTCTGAATATGATGCCACAAGCTTGCCACACCTGTCTTTGTGAATTTTTGCCCATTCCTCTTTGCAGTACCTTACAAGCTCTAGGTTGGTTGGGAAGTGACGGTCTACAGCCATTTTCAGATCTCTCCAGAGATGTTCAATAGGATTTAGGTCTGGACTCTGGCTGGGCTACTCAGGGACATTCATGAGTTGTTGTGGATCCACTCCATTGATATTTTGGCTGTGTGCTTTGAGTCATTTGTGGGTCATTGAATGTTGTTTCTTATGGTCTAAGAGTCCTTCAGATGCCTTTCGGCAAATTCCAGGTAGGGAGTGGCTTCCGCCTGGCCACTCTACTATACAAGCCTGATTGGTGAATTGAATACTTTCCGGATGTATCTATGCATGTATGTGTACTTATTGTTTAGCATAAATACACCTCTCACCCTCACATATATTTTTTAAAATTTATATTTTATATTATTATTATTATTATTATTATTATTATTATTATTATTATTATTAATAATAATAATAATAATAATATACATTCATTCATTCAGTTTCTTTTTGGCTTAGTCCCTTTATTAATCTGGGCTCGAGGCTCTAACCAGCGACCTACTTGCTGTCAGGTTACAGCGCTACCCACTGTGCCACCATATATACATTAGATCAGTCAGTACCAAAACCAAAGTTGGAATTAATCTAAAGAAAACAAATTATTATGTTTTGGAAAATATTAAATAAAATGTAAATAAACAGAAAAAATCTAGAGAAACATAAACATATAAAGAAATTTGTTGAAATTTAGTTTCCAATAACTTTTTTTAAATGTAAATGTATTATCTTTTTATTCCTAAAGATGTTCGGTGACCAAACTCTTATTTTAATGTATATAACTCTTTAATATATTTTTTAATGATTTGTTTAAAATGCACCATAATTATTAACTTTTATTACTGAGAAATTGAATAAAATATTCATTTTTAAAAAGGAGTGTACTTGTATATGCTGAGCAATGGTTTTAAAACAATTTAATTTAAGTTAGATGTAAAAAGTCTTACAAAATGAGTTCATATTTATTATTTATTTCAAAGCATTTTTATTTAAATATTTATATATAAATATAAGTATTTTATTTGATTTATTTATGTTTTTATTGGGCAAGAGCAACCACATATATATTTTTTCTAATTATTATTATTGTTTTTTTTTTTGTTTTAGTTTTTTGAAAGAGCAACCATAATAATTAATCTTCTTTTTTTTTCTTTTTCTTTTTTTTTTGGAGCAAGCGCAACCATAATTTATTTATTTATTTTTATTTTTTTGCTGCGGTTCTGTTTTTCTTATCCAAAACAAGACAGTAAACGATACCCTGACCTTGACATTGATGCATTCAACAATTTGAAAAACACTCAATGCAGGTGTTTGGAGGATTTTGAGCTTGTCCACTTTCAACCACTTTCCGAGCTGAAAATGCATTTGGTCAGACTGCTTTCATAGCACAGGCGCTTATTTGGTCAAATGTATTCAAACCACCACAAAAGACCACCCAGCCTTTAGTGGCATCTTGTTATCATCTGTTAACATCATTCTGTTATCGGCATACATTTGAAATCATACATTTGTGTTGTAGATTAATAAGAAAAGGTCTTAATCTACAATGAGTCAGTTGTAGCACTTACTGTCATTTAATAAAACACTTTGTAGGAGTTGTAATTATAGAACTGGAATTATAGCCTGGATGACTGTAAATGATCAAATGATTAGTTCAAATATTCACTTATTGATTCACACATTTATTAGTCAAATTAATTTAAAGCGACTTACAAATAAGAGCGACATTATTAAAGATGGTCAAATGATCCACGAGTCAAACTATTTTTTATGCGACATACAAAAATAAATATGATTTATAAACTACTTGAATCGATTGAGCCAGTTTAAATGATTCACACGTTTATTAGTCAAACTGATGTATCATATGTGAATCAGTTCCTTCTAAAATAAAGTGGATTTTTGAATCAACTGAATTGGCTGAATCAGTTCATTTTAGCCATGCATTAATGAGTCAAACTGATTCAAAACAACTTACCAAAGGCAAATAAAATTAAAGATAATTTGTGAATTGATTGAATTGGTTAAACTAATTGAATTGGTTCAGTAAGTTCAAAAGATTCACACATTTATGAGTCAAACCTACAGTATTTAGAGCAACTCACAAAAAAGAGCAACCAAAGTAAATCTATGTGAAGGAGTTGATTCAGTTCAATTGATTCCTGAGTCCAACTGATTTAAAACAAAACTTACAAAAGAGAAACAAAAGTAAAGCTGATTTGTGAATGAATTGAAATGGTTCAGTCAGCTCAAATTATTCTAATTAAAGATGATCAAATTATTTAAAATATTTTCAAATGGCATGAAAAAGTAAAGATGTTTTAAAATGTGATTGAATCAATTGAGTCAAATGATTCACAAATTTATGAGTCAAACGGATTTAGAGCAACTCACCAAAAAAGTACACTAAAGTAAGTATGATATGTGAATCAGCTGCTTTAGTTCAAATGATTCCTGAGTCAAACTGAATCAAAACAGTTTACAAAAGAGAAATAAAATTGAAGATGATTTGTGAATCAATTGATTTGATTAAGTTCAGTCATGCAGTTCATATTATCAATACTGAAACTTAATTAAAGGTGATTGGTGAATCACTTATACGGACCAGATCCAAATGCTTTATACTTTCTTGAGTCAAACTGATTCAATGCAATTTTCAAAAATAGTAATACAGTAAAGATGATTTTGTGAATCAGTTGACTTGGTTGGCTCGATTATGCAATGTATTGATTTAACTGATTCAAAACAACTAAGAGGAGAAAAAAATAAAATAAAATAAAATTGATTATTGAATTGGCTGATTCAGTTCATTTAAGCCATGCATTAATGAGTCAAAATGATTCAAAACAACTTACCAAAGGCAAATAAAATTAAAGATGACTTGTGAACCCATTTAATTGGTTGAACTAATTGAATCATTTCAGTAAGTTAAAAAACAACAACACATTTATGAGTCAATTTAAAGCAACTCACAAAAGAGAGAAACCAAAGTAAATCTATGTGAATCAGTTGATTCAGTTGAATTGATTACTGAGTCAAACTAATTCAAAGCAACTTACAAAAGAGAAATATAATATAGATGATTTGTGAATCATTTGAATCAGTTCAAATGATTCAAACATTTATGGCCCACAAAAAAAGAGCAACCAATGTAAAACAAAATGAAATATGAATCAGTTGCCTCAGTTCAAATGATTCCTGAGTCAAACTGATTCAAAATAAGCAACAAAGGCAACATAAATACCACATATACCACACACAGAGTGATTAATCCTCACGTGTTTTCCTCTATACTGTCTCCTCAGGTGTTCCTTCTGGACCTCGAAACGTGATCTCCATTGTGAACGAGACGTCCGTGACCCTGGAATGGCATTCTCCGCGTGAAACTGGCGGTCGCGAGGACGTCACGTACAACATCGTGTGTAAGAAGTGCCAGGCGGACCGGCGCTCGTGCTCTCACTGTGACGACAATGTGGAGTTTCAGCCACGTCAGCTGGGACTGACCGAGTCCAGAGTGTTCATCAGTAACCTGCTGGCTCACACACTCTACACGTTCGAGATCCAGGCGGTCAATGGCGTCTCCAACAAGAGCCCGTACCCTGCCCAACACGTCTCCATAGACATCACCACCAACCAGGCCGGTGAGTCAGTAAGAGCTCTTTAATGGAGCCAAACAGGATTATGCTTGATTAAACCGGCTTATGAAATCAATAAAGTTCACAGCAATGGAGAATGAAGAAATGTGTTACAACAGTTTATATTCCCGAAGCCTGTTTAGAATAATTAGTGGTGGTTTGTTCAGGGTGGAAGCTAGGCATGGTGATTGAAGTTGATTTTATATTCACACATTCAGACTTTCTTCTTAATAATATAACTCCAGAAAAGTATTTGCAAATTCTAAATAGTGAAATCATATTAGCAGCCGATGAATATCAAGATACTACATTGTTCACAGTTAAATAAATAGTGCTTATGGTGTCATACTTACATGTGATTTCAGACCCAATATTCAAAGTACAATAGGGAGCGTGTCACAAGCTGTCAGTTAACCAAGGTACGGATATAAAACCAACTGTGCCTCAGTGTCATTGTTCTTGGTTGTCGGTGTTAACTGGTGCAGTGGTGTTTGTTGGATGGATTGGTCTTGATATAAACTAGTTTAAGTGGTCTTACTGTACAATTTGTGGCAGCTGTCTTGTGTTATTGCAAGTTTTGGTCATACAAATATTTGGTAAATTCAGTTTTTACCATTATTATTTTAAAATGTTGTATTCTCTATCAAAAAAATGGCTACATTTATTAAAATATGTGTTTTTTCATTTATAATAAGAATAAGAATAGTCTTCCTTGGAAAACTTCCTTAACAGAATTTAGCATCCTATATTTTGTATATTGTATACACAATCACTGGCCACTTTATTAGGTACACCTTACTAGTACCAGGTTGGACGCCTTTTGCCTTCAGAACTGCATTTATCCTAGATTGAACAAGGTACTGGAAATATTCCTCAGAGATTGTGTTACATATTAAAATGACAGCATCATGTAGTTGCTACAGATTTATCGGCTGCCATAATGTGAATGACTATCCTGCTGGAAGTAGCCATCAGAAGATGGGTACACTGTGGTCATAAAGGGATGGTCATGGTCATCAACTGCTGTAGCCTATCCACCTCAATGTTGTTCATGCAGAGATGCTCTTATGCAGACCTCTGTTGTAACGAATATTTATTTGAGAAACAGTTGCCTTTCTATCAGCTGGAACCAGTCTGGCCATTCTCCTCTGACCTCTATCATCAACAAGGTATTTGCGCCCACAGAACTGCCGCTCACTCAATATTTTCTCTTTTTTCCAACCATTCTCTGTAAACCCTAAAAATGGTTGTGCATGAAAATCTCAGTATATTGTATGTGTGTGTGTGTGTGTGTGTGTGTGTGTGTGTGTGTGTGTGTGTGTGTGTATTTAAATTATAATTTAGTTTTAACTCCAATTTGGACACTTGATTATAAATACAGGTTATTTATTTATGCTATTTATTTATTATTTTTCATTAATTTAGTTTTTTTCTATATTGTACTTTTTCAGTTGGTTGTGAAATTTATTACTTTTAAACTTTTTATATTATATTATATTATATTATATTATATTATATTATATTATATTATATTATATTATATTATATTATATTATATTATATTATACTATATTATATTATATTATATTATATTATATAATGTTATATTGTGTTATATTATATTATATTGTATTATATTATATTATATTATATTATATTATATTATATTATATTATATTATATTATATTACTATGGCAGTTCATTCTGCTTTGGTAAATATAAGTGAAATATAAATGTGGATCTGCTCTGATTTGAAGCCCTCCTTTTATCCTTAATTTGTAAGTCACTTTGGATAAAATCATCTGCTAAATGAGTAAATGTACTTAAAATGATTAGGTTGATATTATTTTAACACTATGGTGCAATGAAGGTTTTCCCTTTTAATGCCCTGTCTCACACACAGTCTAACCAGTCATCCTTTTTTTTTCTTTCTCCACCTCTGTTACTATTTCCATCACCTTCACCAATCTAGTTTCTCGTTTCATTTCCTGTTAAAAAGTCTCCAAGTGGTCGTTCGGCCTCAATAGCGCTGATTGGAGCATATTAGGAGTGAAGTGTTCAGTTTCCACATTCAGAGCTGCTCACTGGACTGTGCAGGAAGTCCAAATTGAAAACATCAACCCGGTTTGACCTGCGCTAAAAGATACACGTCCGCATCATTTCCTTGAGAGTTCAGCTTTCAGTTTTTTTTTTATTTGTATTTTTTATGGTGTTTGAAACCCATCTCTCTCTCCATCTTCACTCCCTCTGTCATCTCCAATTTTTTTTTCCTGCGTTTCACTGAATCGCTCTACAGAAGCAGCGCAGCAGTCAGTATGCTAAAAGTTTGTGCTGATCTCGCTGGGACACTTTCGTCTGGTTCGCCTGCTTTCATCTTTATCAGTGCGACCAGTATGAAAAAAACAGCCTTGATCGTGTCACTATTCCTTAATACATTCAGCTTCGAAACGAGGGCACTCAGAATCAGAACCGCGGCCCCCCCTTCTGGATCAAAGTGAGCAGCTTGTGGATAATTTAGCGTGCGGGGGAGATTCTCATCCTCAAAACATGGAAACGTTCAGTCTCGGCGATGGAGCAAATGAAGTTTTGACTGCTGACAGCTCCACCCCCGATTCATGCGCTTTGTTCGTTTGTTTTTCATTCAACACAAGTGGAAATTTACGCAGACTTTTAACTCGAGTGGCGCTCGAGTGCTGAATGCTTGTCAAGCATTGCTGTGTGGTTGATAAACAGTTTTAGAGCACTTCCTTTTTTTTGAGTGCACACCCATAAATAATTTTGCAGGTCCATTTGATTGTTTTTGTCAGCAATTTCTAAACGGAAAACACAATTTGAGGTTCACATGTTTCTGAAAATTCCTTTTCTCTAAGGTATAATTTAAAAAAACAATAAAAAAGTGACGTGTTTTTACAATGTTTTAGTATTTCGTTGAAGACAATACGTTCCTTCGGCTTCGTCCCTTTATTAATCTGGGGTCACCACAGCGGAATGAACTGCTAACTTATCCAGCATTTTGTTTTATATTTACATTTACATTTAGTCATTTAGCAGACGCTTTTATCCAAAGTGACTTACAAATGAGGACAAGGAAGCAATTTACACAACTAATGAATAAGTGCTATAGGCAAGTTTCAGGTGTGTAAAGTCTAAGAAGGAAAGTATTAGTAGTATTTATTTTTATTTTTTTTTTGGGTACAGTTAGTGTGATATTCAGAGAGGCAATTGCAGATTAGGAAGTGTAGTGGAGACTAAGTAGTTGAGTTTTTAGTCGTTTCTTAAAAATAGCGAGTGACTCTGCTGTTCTGATGCAGTTAGGGAGTTCATTCCACCAACTGGGCAGATTAAACATGAGCGTTCGCGATAGTGATTTCTTCCCTCTTTGGGATGGAACCACGAGGCGATGTTCATTCACTGAACGCAAGTTTCTGGAGGGCACATAGATCTGCAGAAGTGAGAGCAGATAAGAAGGAGCAAGGCCAGAAGTCACTTTGTAGGCAAACATCAGAGCTTTGAATTTGATGCGAGCAGCAACTGGCAGCCAGTGCAAACGGACTAGCAGAGTAGTGACATGTGCTCTTTTAGGTTCATTGAAGACCACTCGTGCTGCTGCGTTCTGGAGCTTTATGCAGCAGATGCCCTTCCAGCTGTAACCCAACACTGGGAAACACATACACACTCATTCACACACGCATACACTATGGACAATTTAGCCTACCCAATTCACCTGTACCGCATGTCTTTGGACTGTTGGGGAATTCGGAGGGAGAACATTAAAACTCCACACAGAAACGCCAACTGACCCAGCCGAGGCTCGAACCAGCAACCTTCTTGCTGTGAGGCAACAGCACTACCTACTGCGCCACTGCGTCGCCTACTTGTGTAATACCATTTGTTTATTTGAATAAATTGCTTGTATAATTTTTAAGTTTTTAGGAACGATTCAGCTGCAACCTATTACTGAGAAACACCCATACACTCTCATTCACTCACATACACTACAGTCAATTTTAGCTTGTAGCCTACCACATGTCTTTAAACTGTGGGGGAAACCGGAGCACCAGGAGGAAACCCACGCGAACGTGGGGAGAACATGCAAATTCAACTCAAAAATGCCAAGTTACCCATCCGAGGCTCAAACCAGCAACCTTCTTGCTGTGAGGCGACAGCACTACCTACTGCACCACTGCGTCAGCCCCAATGACTGTAAAAAATATGGACGACGCGACAGCCCTTTTTCCCATTGAACGCCTTGAGGGCAAAACGCCTGCTTGACGGGCACAAACTGTCGCATAAGACTGCTGAAATTGGAGCCTTGACATGCGCAGAAGGACTGTCTGATGGAGCCAGAGGAGGAGCCGCGAAAATGAGCGGAGTCGAGCTTCCAACCAAACGCTTTATGTAAAATCAACCACGCCCCCCGAACTTCTCAGCATGCGTTTGCTGTCATATCAACACAAATGGATGTAATAACGTTAACAAATATGAGGGTTTTATATATTCAATCGTGCCACCTCCGGACCGCAGCGCATAACCAACTCGCGGCATCGCGGGCTGATTCCGGCTCGCATGCGGCAGCGCCAGCTCGCTCGGCCGCCGCATCTGGCTCGATTGACTCGGGCTGGAATCGGGTAGTGAGTCCAGGCATCCGGAGTAGGTCCAGCAGAGGTAGTCAGTCTGAGCTCTATGGGATAAGTCTCCGGCAGGCGAGAATCTAGCCGGAACTGTGTTTTGCTATCTGGGTGGTTAGGCGTGTATCAGCAAACTAATAAAGCCCGAAAAAAGCCCTGAACTTAGCGAATAAACAGTGTTCCACCAGGATCATGTATGTCAGAAACTATAGTTTACTGCTGAACTCTTTTTATCATGGTAAAATAACACAGAAATCGAATAATAACACTTCATACTTCTGCCGAAGCTCAGACGCGCTGCTTTGAGAAACTGTCAATCACAGCTGTCAATCACGATGACACGCCCAGCATTAAATTACTGCTAAAAACAAACTGTT